AGCTTTAAGGCACTGCTGTACGAACTAAAAAAAAACTCCTAAAAAATAAAACTTCTTGTTGATTGAGGGGGCAGTTTTGAAAAAAAAAAAAAAAAAAAGATTGACGGACCTTTATAATTTCCACGTATAAGTAGAGTTTTTTTGTATTTTACCTAAAATTTTAGGGTTCCGTACATAAACCACTCTAATTCTGTCAACCGAAACTTGGACAGCGACACTAACCGATGGCCATTGCCACCCACTTCTTTCCAACGCTTTGGGTTGATTACTGAAAACATGGGTGGCCTAGAGCGATAATTATGATGATGATGACGAACGATCAAGACAATAATAATGGAAACAATTGTTGTTATTATTATGGAGAAAGATTATATGGTCTAGCTTGACCACCTAATTTGGTTCTATTGTCTCCAAAATATCTGAGGAATTTTTTTTTACTGAAAATTTTCAGATCATATTTAACTCATCTTGTGAACAACTCCAAAAATAAATAATTTCTTTTTCAAGCTCTTAAAAGTAGGGTCTATCATCCATCAAATAGACAGTTCAAATGCAGTCTTTGAGGAGGAATCGATCTGGAGCGACATTTAAGCTCCAATCTTTTTCTTTTCTTCAAATTGATATTTCAGGCTACTAAATATGATCAAAGATTTTTTTGTGAAAATCATAAATACGTCTTGGGATGACCCTGAGTTGTTGGTGTTGTTAAATTCAATCTAAGGATCCATAGTTTAGTGCGACCAAATAATTGTTATATCTATGAATTATCAAATCAATAGATGGACGGTGATGGGTAGAGAGAGAGGGAGTACCTACAACCTAGCTCATGTCATGTTCTCTACATCACTGTACTGTCCATCCTTTGACAGTGATGATACCAGTGAACGCAAACAATTAGAAAGGAAGAGATAAAGAAGATAACCTGTGGATAGAGATGCCTGTGTTCTGGTTTGGGTCTGTTCTGCCTTGGGCAGTGATGGTGATTTGTTGTCCTAGCATGGGCTGTTTTGCTAAAATCTTGCAATCTTGGAAAACAACAGCTGAGTTACCAAAGATGAAGTCAACAGTGCCTGAAATGGTGCAATTCTTATAGAACTGGCGAAGCTTGTGAACGTAGAGTGTGTCTTGGTAGCCATCAGCGAGGCATCGATAACAAACAGTTTGATCCGCGCTAACCATTAGAGCTACAGCTTGATGCTTTTCGGGACCTGCGATGTTCTGGAATCCGATATCCATGCCGATGAATCCTTTACCGAACACAGCTGGTACAATTTCATGGAGTTTGATGATAGAGTTTAGTTCGATCTTCCTCGCATAGACTTACATTTTCCCCTTTAAAAATGTTTTATTCATGGCATCTATTCTTAGAGATAAGCTTCCTTCTCCTTCCAGATATTCGATTAAAGATCAATTTAATGGACTAAAAATTAGAAATAATACTACTTGTGCAGTTCACAAGGCCATTAAGGGACCAAAAAAAGGTGAAAAAAACTTCTGGTTTTCCTTTTTCTTCTTTTAAACTCTGTTTTACTATAATTATATATGATTTACAAATAAGACTACTAAACCTTCACCTTTTAAATCCTTAAAGGGTCCAATTTCTATGACCGAGTTTACCTAATCCTTCTAAGAAATAATAAAAAGAGCCAAGCTCATTGAGATTTAGATGAGCTTTTAACTCGTCATCATCTTCATCAAAGCCTTATCCCAACTAATTGAAGTCCGCAAGTTTTTCACCATAATTTTGTAGTAGGGAATAAAGAAATTTGATCAAAACACTCATGAAAAGATGCACTATTTAGCATTTTGCACATTATAACTATTCCAACTCGTGTTCATATGTGTTCAGATGGGTATTTTGAAGTTAAACCAAAGAATGTGAGTAACATGTTAAATAGTTTGTCTCTCATATGTATTTTGATCAATTTCTATTTTTGGGTGAAATTGATCAAAATGAGAAGAATTATTTAACATCTCTCACATTTATTTTGATCAATTTCCCTTGGAAGGATTTAGATGTTGACATAGTTGGGACCAGCGGCAAAAATATGGTAACCCCCACTTCAACGGTCCAGATCTTGCCCGCTCTCAGGTACTACGGTCCAGATGAGTCAGGCCCAACTCTGCCCTATTGAGCCAAGCTCTACCGGACCTTTCACATTTCCTTAGTTCTCCAAACCATCAACATGCACCCCACGACCTTCCCTCCCAACGTCCCAATCAACCTAAATGTTATCGTATTATATTACCCATGTTACTTTTGAAAATGAGTGATTTACGACCTTAAATTATTCTTTTTTTTTGGTGGAAATTACAAAGGAAGTCAGTCAACCGATTTTTTTTATTTATTTTTCTAAAATTACCCCTCTGTTCGAGGTCAATTTTAGAATGAATTTTATTTTATTTTTTTAAAAGTTTTTTTTCATTAGTCGGGCACTACCCTAAAGCTTGGGGTATTGCTCTACTAATGAAAAAACTAAAAAACAAAATTAAAATTCGGACTGAGGATTCCATCTTCAAACTGAAGGATAATTTTTTTTAAAAAAGCAGGTTGATTGACCTTATTTGTAATTTCTAACTATAAATGAAGTATTTCATATTTTAAAAAAACATTTAGGTTTCCCATGTAAATCACTCTTTGAAAATCACTGATATATCCTTAAACTACTGAGATGCATTTGGTTAAAGAGGATTTAAACATGAGCAATACTGACTAACATGCATGTATACTAACTATTAAAGCGACGTACGTCGGACGTTATAGAATATTTATCGATGAAGAATTTACCTAAGGTGGCGGTATTGAAAGTCGGAGTCCCATCGATGACATTCAGGCCGCCGGTAACTATGGTCGAATTCATGCCATCTCCTACTATCATAACATTCCACTTATCCTTGTCTAAGACAACATTCTCGACATACCTCCCCTGCTTTACATAGATCACGATCCTCTTCTTACTCTGTTTAGGGACGGCCTTGATTGCGGCTGAGATGTTCTTGTACTTGCCGGACCCATCTTTCACGACCACAAAGTCAGCGGCGTCGCGAGGGTCGAAGCTCTGTAGAAGCCTACGATCCTTCGAAGTGATCCATGATGGAAAATCGCCGGAAAAATGACCCAGAAGTCTTCGGTGGGTCGGTATGTTCAGCGAGCCTAGCACATTCGTAATGCCTGCCAGGATTGCTAGACTATTGCTAGTGAACTCCGTCGAGTTTCTCAGCGATTCGTGTATCTGACTAACAAGAACTTGATTCGCATCCTCGAATCCTTCTAGGCAAGTCTCTACATCGGTTATGGCTGCACTAAGCCATGATTTTAGGTCATCGACATTTTCCTGTGACAGGATTCCAGCCAGGTTGCGGGAATTACACTCGACAGATGTTATAGTGATGTTAAGTTGGTCTACAGCATCTGTAAGGACTTGACTGCAGACCTCGAGAGCTGGGGCTATGGCTGTATCATTGAGTTTTCTGGTGAGCTTTTCAGGTAGAGAGGCAGCATTGGAGATCTCTTTCAGTGCAACTTCCAAAGAGAGTTTGAATAGGGATTCAGGGTCGAGATGGTTCACGTTTGCGATGGGGGAGAGAGAGGAAAAGCACGAGTCGGGGTAAACTGCGAGGTTGCAGAGAGCTTTGATGGAGGAGTAATATGGTCGGGAATCGGAGGAGGAATCGGGCTTCTGTTTTCCGGCATGGGATTGTGTGGGTCCGACCGTGACCGCCACGACTATCGTGACAAGGACTATGGTCGATAGGCTTATGATGGTCATTCTCTTTCTTGTTTTATGCCGGGCTTCCAGCCTAGCCTGCTCAGTCTCGTCCAATTTGCCATAGCCTCTGAAAGATGTTGAGTTGCTCATCATCTCTCTCCCTCTGTGAGAAATCTCTATCTCTCTGTGTAAAATCTCTGTGGTGTTCTTTGTATTGGAACATGGAAGTGTTCTTGTATTATAAGAGAGAAGTCTTAAAGCTTTGAGGCATGGAAGAATCGTGCCGGCACGATTGAATTTAATTAATATATCTTGGACCCTCATCGCGGTCCTTCACCTTTTGCCAAGGTATTACATGTGTGGGTTGCATGTTTCAAGACTATGTTAGACGGATTCATGGATTAAGTGGGCATAGCACATCTGAAAAAACAAAAAATTTATAAGAATAATGTGTCATTGAAAAGGAAAATAATAACCCATTTTGTATCATGGCCGTTAATAACCACTCTAATCCACTTTTGTGCTTTGAATTGTTTATTTTTATTTTCTCATGCGTTCTCTAATCACTTATAATAAGTTCCACACCAAATTAGTCCAAACTTCAATACTCATTCGCGCTTCTCAACAACTATTCCAACACAAAGACAAGACTGCATTACCAGCCAAGGCCTGTTTCTTTTCTTGTGAAAAATTTAAGATATCTACAAGATGAACTATTCAACATTTTACCCACAACTATTCCGATGAACTATTCAACATTTTACTCGTATGCAACTATTCTGATTCATGACCGTTTTGTTGTGGCAGCGATTTTGAAATTAAATCATAAAATACGAATAGAATGTTGACAAATTCATGTCCCATGGATATTTACATAAAGGAAGAAAAAGTGTTTCAAGACGCATCTAGGACTCCTCTGACTTGGGGCGAGGCGAGTTTGTCCTGAGTACACCGTATACATATACGTGTTATTAATATATTATATATAATAATGTGCCAATTTTTAACATAAACATTCAAGTAATGCACTGGTTTGTATGTATACTTATGTTCCATGACGGTGAGGGTTTGAATCCCTCTTGAACCATCATGCCTTCTTTTTTTAAAACTTTTTTTTTTTTTAATTGAGAAGTAAAAAAATTATTCAAGAAGGAAATTCGAACCTAAGACCTCTTATAGCTTGCCACTTTAACCAACCGTGATCAGAATTTCCTTGTCAACAAAAGTATATGTCTATTCTTATAGTACCTTTTTTTAAAAAATAGAAAACATATATTGAAAATGAGCAAGTTGAGGATTGAAACCCAAATCATCCTGCATGGAGGAACCCCAAGGGCAAAGAACCT